AAACATCTGAATTGTATTAAAACATCTGAATTGTAAACACCTGTATTGGGAAGTTTTTAATGTAGGATGTTTCTCTGTGTTCTGTTATATTCTGTTGGAAGCTGCTCAAAGTGGCTGGGGCAACCCAGTCAGATGGGCAGAGTACAAATAATAAATTATTGTTATTGTTGAAAAACAATAGTCTATTTCCAGTTTTGCTGCAGCCCCTCTGATTAGACTTTTATAATCATGTGCTAATGTTGTTGTTATTGTTATAGGCATGTAAGAGTAAAGAGAACAGATAGAACTAGGGGAGTTAAAAGAAAAACAAACAGCAAAAGCTTCTAAAGGCACTTAAGGAAGCAAACCATGATGTTGTGTTTCTTGAGGGAACCCATTTATCATAATTCCAGGAGATAAACTGAAGTAGAAAGCCTTGTCTCTCTTTATTTTGTTACTTGAAGAGGCAAAGACAAAATGATTTGTGAAAGATTTGCAGTCGATATTAAACTCGTTGGGCTGGGTGAGCAGAGTTTATCTTACTTTGCTATTGACAATCAGAGTTTGGCGCCCTAGTAATTAAGGTCCTGTCAACCTTTCTAGCCTAAAGCTTTTGCTTTTTCCTCTCTACAAGAATTAAATCACCTGCTTCAAATCATGACAGGTTAAAAACATACTGGAGATGGCACCAACTTGGATATGTCCCCTCTGCTCCAGAAGTACAAATTTGTTTAGTTACAGAAGAAAAAGACAGTTCTCACACGGCCTCACTTGCTTCTATGATCTAAACCATTAGCTTAGTAGCCTCTAAGATGGCTGAAGTAGATGGAATTTACAAAGAAGCCCTTCCAGAGAGGATTAACCCTGCAAAATTATAGGCAAACTCATCCAGGGGTCTTCATGAAGGAAATCTTTCTCCCCCCCCCTAAAAAGGAAAGTCTCTGTTTTTTTTTTAATCTTCTGCAGAACTGGATGAAATTTGCAGCCTGACAACTGAACTGAGGGAGAGGGAAAGTAGAATGACCCTTTATTAATCTCTCCTAACTGTTTGCCTACTAAGAATTAAACTAATGCAAATGGGGGCGGTGGGGGGGGGAGAGAAAACAGCAGAATGAAATCAATTTGATTGAAGTATTTATTTTTAATTGTTTGTTCGGAAACAGAAAGTGATTGGGAAGGATGCCAGTAACCTACTGCTCTTATGTACATTTCCTGCTTTTTCAGGCAGAACCTGCAGAAGAACAATGACCGTGTGGAAAGTTCCACAGGGCCAAAGAACACTTCCTAAGCATCACCCTCTTGAAACATCCATTACCTATTAACACTATCATTTATATCAATGTGACTATCACTGGCATTTCTTCATAATCACAACTGATACTCTCTTTTTAAAGTATGTGCACACCCATTCACACACAAAGCACTTCAAAGAAAGGTGAAATTGTTTGGCAGCCTAGAAAGTCCCTGTTTCTTAAAGGTTAATGTTTCCTTTCTCTCAGAAAATCAATAACTTTTATCTGCCAAAAGATTTATTTGCATATCTAAGTGCCTCCTGAAATGCCAATAAAAGCTGCAGATAATATCCAAATGCATTACTCTCTACATAACTTTCAATCATATCACTATCAATAGGGTGACATCTTTAGCAATGTGACTTTACAAAAATGAAGTATTTAAAAGTTTCATTTTTAATTAAAAGGCACATACTGCAATATTTAAACAGGACTGAATTCTCCTGTTTAACACAGAACATAGCCTTATCTTGAAGACAAGTTTTCTAAACAACATTTCAATAATACACAATTCTTCATAACAGGTAGATCAGTATTCCCTGCCCTATATGACGTCTTGTTGGGATACATATTTTTGTAGCATTTTTTCCCCTGGGAGACCTTGATGGTCTAACCCATGGGTAGGCAAACTAAGGCCCGGGGGCTGGATCCAGCCCAATCACCTTCTAAATCTGGCCCACAGACGGTCCAGGAATCAGCATGTTTTCACATGAGTAGAATATGTGCTTTTATTTAATATGCATCTCTGGGTTATTTGTGGGGCATAGGAATTCGTTCATTTTTTAAAAAAAAAATAGTCCGGCCCCCCCACAAGGTCTGAGGGACAGTGGACTGGCCCCCTGCTGAAAAAGTTTGCTGACCCCTGGTCTAACCTTTGTAATCCACTTTTTGCTCCTGCTTGTACTTTGGTGTGGAGGGGTCAGGGTCATGTACCTTCAAAATCTTGGGTGGTTAACTAAGACTGCAATTTTCTGGTATCTAAGTCAATTCACAATGACACGGTGGCGTAAGACAGTGGTTTTCAACCAGTGTGCCGAGGCACCCTGAGGTGCCGTGAATGATGGTCAGGGGTGCCTTGGGCAACACTAACCTCTGTCCTCCCCCCTCCCTCCTCTGATGCCCTCTCACATCTCTGCCTCACAAAGGCTTGCACAGCTGCTGTTGCAGCAGCCCTGGCTACAAGCTCCGCAGGCGAATGGTGCCAGGGGTTGTTAGTTGCCAAGAGCTGAGGTGGCCTTGCAGTAAGCAAGCAAGCGGGTGAGGGAGCCCAGCCAGTGAACGGACAAGTGGGGGGCTGGGCAGGGAGGCAGGCTCTGCACTGGCATTTCTTCTGTTTGCTGTGTGCAAGGCCTGCCTGGGAGCTGAGTGTCCAGTGCTGAAGGGGAGTCGCTTTCTGTCATCCAGGCCCAGCAGCACCCGCTGCTGCCACTGCTGCCTCCCAAGGTAAGGTGCTGGCCTCACCTTTGGTCAATCTCTATTGGGCCACTAAGGCTGGAGGCATCCTCTTTCCAGGTCCCTGTGGGGCAGTGTGAGGAGGCACTTCTCTTTGGGGCAGTAGCTCAGAGACCAGTGGCGGCAGCAGTGGCTGCCCAGAGGACTCCTAAGGACGGGGGAGAAAAGGCTGAGGGAACACTTTCCAAGGGAGGGTTTCAAAAAAGGGCGAGAGGCTGGCAACTCTGCAGGCAAGGGGTGACATAACTGGGCTCCTGAGCCCCATAGGGGTGCCACAGAAAGAATGTAATTGGTCAAGGGAGCCATGGACTCAAAAAGGTTTAAAACCTCTGGCCTAAGGGGCTAAACTCTTGGTCTTCTGTGCTGGGCCCAGTGAAAAGATACTTGACGTCTAGGTAGCAATTGTGTCCAGAAGTGCTTTTTTATCAATTGCCTTAATTAATCAGACACATGATGAAATCATGTTTTCAAATGAGGGGTTATTATTATCTATTCATATGTAGTCTAAAGCACACATTATGGCGCTACACTCCCCAAGAACTCCCTTTGAAAAGAAATCAAACATGGGCTACAAAGATGGTGTTGGAACTGTATCATGCACTCAAAGATTAGGAGCGGGCACAAGTATTAGAAGTGGGGGGAAAGTAACACAGCATACTAAACGAATCACCATGGGAAGGCAGTGCCTCCTGAATGGCAGCCTAACAATCTTTTAACTAAACTAAACTAACTAACTAAATAAATAAATAAATACTAAAGGAATTTCTTAGGGCGCCTTTAATTTTGAGAAGACAGACCAAGGGGGTTCACAAACATGTAAAAGCCAACTGCAAAACAACTAGTAAAACCAAATTATAAAAATATAGCTCACCCATAATTAAAATACAAACTAAAACAAGTTCATTGAAACAGTAAGACATCCATAATTAAAATGCATAATAAACAAGCAAAATAAATAATAAATAAATAAATAAATAAATAAATAAGAATGAAAAGTTAGGAACAGGGTGCACAGGGAGAAATCTCAATAGCAAATTAAGTATTGAGTAAGTGGATATACAGTTTTCAAATATAATGCCCCTCCATCCTTGACTATGATGCAATGTCAGCTGAAACCAGATGACTGTCCAAGTCAATTTGCATTACTGATGGAAATATAATCGGTGGCACAATTTTTTCTTAATCCGGCAACAGCGATGAGTTATGTTTGCGTAGTTAATGCTATGCCCTTGCATAGTGGCTTTCATCCCAGAAATCTCTAAGTGCTAAAGTAAACATTACAGTAATTACTTCTGAGAGGTAGGCAAGTATTTGCATTTTACAGTTAAGTAAACTGAGGCAGGGCAAGGCAAGCTCTACTTCTAAAAGGATTCAAATGTGCCCAGCAGATGTAGCTTCAAAGAAAGCTAATGATCGTACCTTTGGAAGAAGACCATAAAACCTTGTGCTGTATTTAAGCACGTGTAGAATTCAAACCTGGGGAGTGTGGCTACAATCCCAGCATTTCTCCAGCAGCACAATCCCAAAATAATTTGTGGGACTGGTGCTAATGATGTGCAACTGATACTTTGGAGAACCCGAGGCTAGTTAGGAGGTGAACTGGGGAAATGATTAGTTTCTCCAAACCATTAGACCAGCCAATTATATGAAGAGGTTAATAGACAGATATCACGTATCTTCTCTCCATTCTTTCAGCTCACCTTCAACTGTAAGGATGCAAGAGGGAAAATGATCCTCTACTGTAGAGGTTGGGAAACCTTTTCACCCCAAGAGCCTCATTCCCTTGTGGGGACCATTCTGGGGCCCACATGGGCTTGGTGGGTATGGCCAAAGGCGGAAGTGTGTGGAGAAACAAATGTGACTCTTGCTTTTGTACAGTAGATCACATTCCAAGCATGCAAAGGTACACAGATATTTCCACCCTTCATTCAGGCAACCAAAGGGCATTATTACAGTTCAGTGAGAAATTTCCACAAGGATAAAGCACTCAAGTAGGGCATGGAGCAGGTCCGGTGAGGTGTGTGGCCTTGGGAAAAATCTAAGACAGAGGGGCCTGGAAGGCTACATTCAGCCCCCAGGCCTGAGGTTTCCCATACCCTGATCTACTGGGATTGGGCATGCAACATCTATCCCGCAGAAAAGATGGGAAATGCAGAATTTACGGACCCAGAATCACATGTGGCTTCAAAGTCTCTGCCTCCTCCAAATATCACAAGCAATTTGTTTCTGTGGATAAATACCTAGAGAAAGAAACAGCGAACAGGAATTCGAACTCACCTAGTCCCCAGAGTGTGATGCATTGCTGCTCATGTGTCTGGCACATGCCATTATAGCAATACCCATCTACCCTGTAGCAGGGGTGCCCGTCATGTAAGTAAACATTGGCTGGGCAGAGAGGGCTGCCTCCAGTGCAGAATTCAGGAAGGTCACAGGAATTACTGGAGTGCCTGCATAAGACCCCTGCTGGCTTCAGCTGCAGGAGGAAAAGATTTGGCTGTAATTCTAATCAATAAAAGTTACTGCACAGTGAAATTTATGCTATGGACTAATGCTTCCCCTCCCAGACTCTGCACCAAGTGGCCATTAAGCACAGCATAAAGGCACCACAGCATTTATATGCATCTCTTTGATATACTGCACAGCAGTTTACAGCACACTTCTAAAGGGCCTCCTTCATTCCTTACTAAAATGCAAGCACAAGGCTCTGACACTCTGCACACACAAGTTAAAACTTCAGCTGACTCTGCAGTGGTGGAATTATTTAAGTGGACATAAACTTTTAAGGCTGCTTTTTAATACTGTCAATTTATGCATAAAATAAAAAAATACACACATTGTCTTTTAGGGGAAGAAGTGCTGCATTGATTTTTTTTAAAAAAGAAGCAGAAGCAGCAATGGATGCGTTTTCAGTGGTGCAGCTATAGGCCAATGAACCTCTTGAGTACCAGGTATATTCCACTGACAATGCATGATAGCTCACATAGCAATGCATGTTTCATACGGCATGAAGATTGTTATGGAGTCCTGCCCACCCCACATGAATTAGGAAGCAGGAAAATTCACCTTGCAGTCTTCACAGCAAAGCCCATGGGCACATACTGCTCCTGGTTTTAAAGTGCAAGTAGTAGCATTACAGCATTCATTTGTACATTCCTAAAAAAGAAGCCAATAAAACCTAAGAATTACAATAGGCAGGAATATGTACATAGAGATCAACTGGAATCCATATGACCACCTGATTCTCTGCATTTAGGCTAAAGAACACACTGCTTGTGCGCTGAACTATATTCCAAGGACCTATACAACTCCAATTCTTTCTGTTCCCACCTCCTGAAATGTTTTGAAATATAAATAGTGCAGGGGTCCCTCGAGTTACAAACACCTCAGGTTACAAAAGCTTCAGGTTGCAAACTCCGCTAACCTGGAAGAGTCACCTCGAGTTGAAAATTTTGCCCCAGGATGAGAACAGAAATTGTGTGCCGGTGGTGCAACAGCAGCAGCAGCATCAAGAGGCCCCATTAGTGAAAGCATGCCTCTAGTTAAGAACAGTTTCAGATTAAGAATGGACCACCAGAACGAATTAAGTTCGTAACTAGAGATACCACTGTATTCTGTCTCCTCATTCTGGAAAAGCATTCAATATTGTAAAACATCCTTGTAACCAAGGAAGCACAAAGTTGCAGAATCATCCAGTCCAACCCTTAACTTGTGCAGAAAATCCAGGTTCAATTTTCAACATCTTCAGGAAGGGTTGGGAAAGACTCCTGCCTGAAACCCTGGAAGCCCGTCAGCCAGTCAGGGTAGACAATATTGTCCTAGAGATGGACCACAGGCAACTTCCTAGGTTCCTACCTCAGCACAATTCCTAATGGCTTTCAACCCTGCCAGGAACCACATGTGCTTCCATGAGTGGCAACACTGGGCTCTAAAAGTGGGAGCTGAGGCAAAGTTTCTGTCACCTTTCTCTAGCCCCATAATCTCACCTAGCGCTGCTTTTAGAAGTTTAGGACGACTCGCTTGCTGTTTAACCTAGGGTGTGTAATTTTAATGCGTCATTCCTTTGTTCAGTGTTCACCAACCATCACACAATTGTTCTCTGCCCTTTTTCTTTTCTCTGAACTACATACACCACATTAAGATTCTGTTTGGCCTAGTTCTAAGCATATGTCTAGACTGCGGCAGGCAGGGGAACAACTGCTGAATTTTCTTCAACATAAAAAAAAATCAGAAAACTAGGTTTCATGGAGAATACTAGAACATTTCCCCCTGACACCTAGCTTTCTCAGTGAGAACTAGGCATTTCTGTGATTTTCTTCTAGAACTTTACCATTCTCCTCTGAATTGTCTCCAATTTATCTTGTCTGATCAGAAGTGGCACAGTACTTAAATGAGATCTAATCTCTTAACTGAGCTGAGCAGAGGAGTACTATTGTTTCATGAGTCTAGGAAATGATGCTTCTGTTAATCCAACTTGAAAGCAGATTAGCCTTTCTCACCAGAGTATCACACACTTGAGTTTGTTATTCACTGTAACCTTCACACGTCCCTTAGAAGTGCTGCCTATTTAGTTATCCCCAGCCTTAATCTTTATCATTATTTATAAATTTTACTTATACATTGCCAAGCTGCTTTGAGTTTCATATACAAAGCATAGATCCATACCCGCATGGAACTTCTGAGCCAAATACTGGCATACCTTGGAGATATTGTGGTTTCGGTTCCAGACCACCGCGATAAAGCGAATATTGCAATAAAGTGAGTCACACAATTCTTTTGGTTTACCAGTGCATATAAAAGTTATGTTTACACTATTGTGTGTTCTATTAAGCCAAGTCCCCCCCTGGCTGCAGAGGTGGGAGCGGGGAAACCCAGCTCCAGCCCTGGCCAGCTTCACTCCCGTGGCCAAAAGAGGGGTGGGAGTGATGGGCTTCCTTCCCCTGTAAGCGGTGGGACTGCCTGCAGCTGCACCCACATTCACATAAGGAGCAATATCTGCTAAGTGCAATAAAGTGAAACGTAACAAAACGAGGTTTGCTGGTAGCTTTCCCCCCTTTCTATATGTAACCCTTTTTGGGGAGGGGCATAATTTCATTTTCTTGGATTTTGTCTTACTAAGTCCTTATTTGTAGTCCTTGGTCAAATAGAATGGGTCAGTTTAGCCTTGATAAATGGAAAGCTTACATTTCAAGGTCATAGAGAATGGTAATCGATTCACATTAAATTCAAATTTCAATCTAGTGAGATTTGGCAGAAAGTAGAACAAAAGCCATTCTGCTCCACCGAAACTCTGAAATATTTTATTTTTATTTAATTTAACGAAATATATATACTTCTTGACTGTAATAAAATCTCCAAGGGTTTTACTAGTAGTATTAAAAATACTCATTTTAAAACTCCATCGCCGCCGCCATGCCTGCATCTCAACTGTCAGGCCGATGGGAATCGGTATCCCAGAACATAACCTGCAGGCACATAGTCAAGAACCTTGCTGAAGTGGAGCAGGTTTGCGCCTGGATGGGACACTGCCTAGGGATCACATGTGTGCTTCCTTGTGTTCCCTCATGGGGAACAGTGGGATAGAAATATACTACATAAATAAATCTGCCACAGTCCCTTGGCTGGGCTCAAGGCAGAGGGTATATGTGATTAATTTTTTCCCAAGTGAAAGCAAGTACATGAGGGAGATGCGAAAAGAGAATATGCATGTGAGATGGAGGGGTAGGTAAGGCACACTTGCCCTGCTTTGCAGGGACAGGCTCCCTATACTTCCACTGGAAAGCTATATATTTGATCCAGTCAGAAAGTGCTTCTACTTCCATTGTAAAGTGAAGTGTGGTTCTGGCTGGATTCTGGCAGCGATGGTAGAATTTGTCTCATCTCTTATTTACGTAGATGCAGGAAAATTAGCTTATCTCACCCTCAAAAGATCCTATTCGATGAGCATACATCAAACTAAAATGTATCAGGCAACCTGGCAAAAAAAGACCTTCAGAAGCAACTGCAAAATCTTTCTAAGGAGCTTACAAGAAAGATATGAATGCAAAAGCTCTCATTGTTCTTGTAGAAATGTGATTTTAACACTTAAAGTTCACCAACAGTCAACAGGTTTCTTCCTCACATACCCTGCAATCAATAAGGTGAATCGGGGTTAATCTTTCAGATTAACCCTGATTCACCTTATTGTGTCTTCTAGAGTGTTTGAATATTATTTCATTTCAAAAGAATTTGGGGTAGGGGTTGGTGAAACTGGCCCTTGTTAGGGACCCAGGCCTGCCTGCCCTGCAAAAATCACCACTAGAGATTGACTGGTGGCAATGCTAATCCGATTTACTAGGAAGTAAAAACCCCATTAACTGAGTGGGACTTATGCCTGAGTAGGTTTGTGCATTTAGGCAGCGATCCTATCCACTGAACCTGAGAGTAAACCCTATTGAACTCCATGGAACTTCTTTCTGAGTCGGCCCTTACAAGCCTTGCCTAACCTTGTATGTATATCAACAACATGCCCAATATATTGATTGGGGCACATGCAGAGGGGGCATTACTTTGTAAGTATTTTGGACTGACACCCACTGGAAAATTTGCCTTTTAAAAATAAATGAATCACACCCCAAAATACTTGAGAACCTAGCCTGTACTCCAGTTTACAAGGCTTGCCAAGGTTTTGAGTACCAGGGTCATGAAAAATGTAGTAATTTCTAATGCAGCTATTGCAGTAAAGTGATTTTTTTTTCTTGGTGGGGTGGGGGCACTGATACAGCTCCTTGTCAAAGGCACAAGGGACTCTAGGTATACCGCTGGGGGTAGATGTGACCCATGACCAAATTCCATCTGACATATGGCATCAAACCACTCTGATGGGCTCCCCCTACCGCCTGGCCTATACTGTAGCCTGTCTTCTTCTCACCTAACCCTTAACATCATGATGGAGGTATGAATGATGCAGCACTGAGCCAAGGAGAACAGAGAAGAAATAAAGAAGCCCCCCTCTGAAACAAGTGAGAAAATGCAATCAATTGAAAGACAGTATCAGCGAGATCTGAAGGGTGAGTGAGAGGCCGTACAGAGCAAGCTTTTCTGCCCCCCTTCCTCATCCTTCTATGGTGGCTGTGAACTGGACACCAAGTACAGCTACCCCACAGGCAGACAGGGTCTCTTATCTAGGCAGAGAGATGGGAAGATCAGAATATGAGGAGTGGGAAAGCCAGAAAAATGCAAACTGAATAAAGATATCTCATGGCTAGAGAGGCGAACCAATAATTCACTATTGCAGCTCTAATATGTGGTGAGCTGGTTATATTTAGCCTTTGACATTTCACTAGTTAACAAATCTTCCTCGCATAAGATTTGCATTGCAGAATTCTCTTGCAGGTGACATGTTAAATGTATTCTGGTTCTCTTCACCTTTGGCTCTGACTCTGCCCAACATTGTTTTTTTAGCTCCTGACTGACTTTTTCCCATGGGTCACAACCCCTCATAGAAGAAAAGTCCTCAACCTCTGTACTGGCTAATAAAAAACAGCTTTGTATGCAAGCTTCATGCAGAGTTACACACAGAACAACATGATGCACTCAAAGATTAGAGTGGTATTGATGTGCTGATCCAATTTAAATTACATAGCTAATGCCAAATTAATGTACTGGATATGCTGGTACCACATAGATTACAGTGGAAGACTGGGACTAAAACCAATCACAACTGAGCCACCATTTTCTAAGGAATTTAACAGAACAAAGGAAGAAGCCACAGTTCAAACTGCTTCAAGCGGTTTTTACTTTAAAAGGTATCAGTAACACTGAGGAGTGAAAACGTGAAAGATAACTGGGCTAGAATGAATGTGAAAGCTACAGATACTCTATTGACTTTAAACAAGCAGATAAACCTACTTCTCATGCTTTGCTACCCAGAAGAATGAGTATGCTGTCAGGAAATCCTTATGGCTTGATCAATTCAATAAACTGTATGGGAAAGCTATGCAATTTCTTGCTATTTCAATGTCTTTCAGTCTATTATGCATATAACTCTATGCTTACAGGAGAAGACAAATCCATAATTCTCTGGTATATTTAGTTATGATAATCTGGGAGAGAAATAGAGTATCAACTTTTAATGCCGACATCTAATTGAAGGAAGGGTAGATGTCTTCCCTGGCAGAATGAAGAGAGGAGCAGTCACCTTCCTTGTCTTGGGCAGCCATGGAAAAGGAAGAAGGGATGTTGGCATAAGGTCTCTCTCTTTCCAAGCCTTTTCACTTGGCATGTGTTATGTACTGAGCTGAATCCTAGAACAATAGGATCCAGAATGCAGCAGTCTGATTGGCCCGCAGGAGCTACCCAATCCACCTCCAGGTGGAAGTGAATCAGCGACCTGATTGGCCTGCAGGAGCAGCCAATCAGGCTCCTGAAGGAGGTGAATCCGCAACCTGATTGGCCTACAGGAGCAGCCTGGAATTAGCCAATCACACGGGGCCCATTGTGTAAATAATGTATATATAGCTAGACATTTTGGGGAAAGTTTCATTCATTGCTACTATGAGCTGAATAAAGTGCATTAAACTCACACTCGACTCTGAGTGTATTTCAGCATGCTGGGCACAACATAAAGCAGGCTCTTCTTGGTTGATGAAGAGTACCAGAATACCAGCCTGCAGACTTTTCAAAAACACTGCATGGCTTTTGAATTTAGACAAGCATTCAAGGAATACCGAGACTGGAGAATAGTGGTGCCTAAGGACTGATATGACTTGATATTCTAAATTGAAATTTCGAGTCTCCTTTTAAAGCAGTCACGACAGACAGTCCTACCTCAGGTTCCCCACAGTCGCACTCCTCTCCTTCTTCTACATAGCCATTCCCACACTTTGGGCCACCGAAAGATTCCTTAACTTCAGGCAGGTTGAATAGGCACATCCCCACTCCTTTCTCCAAGCTGCTTTCCAGGTCTTTCTTGCTGCAGCTGCTAAACATCATAGGAAATGGGTAGCTGGGGGGAAGAAGGGGTAGGAACAGGGGAGACAGAAGAAAAAAAATTACCATTATCAAAGAATTGTGGGTTTGAATTCGGAGACAAGATGTTCTGTAACACAACACTCCTAGCAAATTCTACGGCATCATCATAATGTGTCCCAAGAAATGAACAGAAGGGAATCAAATGTCATTGTGCCAGAGGCTGGTATAGTGCACACATAGTTACGGCAGCTAATGCTAATATTTCTCAAACAGCACTCATTATACTGATAGACATTGTGATAATAAACATAAACAGATTAAACATAATGAATGCCAGAGCTTCCTTAAATACTCCCAGTCCAAAACCACTTATGGGTATCTACCCCTTGCTACAATATTTTCAAGTCCCACAAACCCCAGGGTAGGTTTTACAGTGTGGGATGTTATGGGGCATGGAGGGAATGAAAAATTAGATTCAATGGGAGAGAGGCAGAATGAAGGGGAGTGGGGGTCTATAGAGAATGTGGCGTCAGCACTGGTTCGGTGCTGATTGTTGCTCCTATGCCTATATATTTGATATTTGAAAAGCACCCCAAGTATTTTAGTATACACTGATCTTGTGATGTTAACATGTCTTGTAACTCTATCTTTTTGTTTCTGCAAATATTCTCTGCAGTCACTGGAAGCTTGCCACTTTGTTAATTGTGAGTGAGATAAAAACTTTTGAGAGTCATTCAGCTCAATGCCAGCTGCATCAGGATGTTTGCAAGGACACCATGCCACAGACATTGTACAGGATGCCAAAGTGCACACTGTGATTCCCTGCGATTATATTAGGTGTGGATCACAACCATCTGGCAAATAAAAGACAAACTGTCTTATTTCCCTAGACTCTGGAACCCATTGACTTCCTCTCTGCATTCAGGCAACAATTCCACACTACGGCTGTGTAGGGAGCCAGCCAGCTCGACAATGACTGGGCTTTGTTCCCTAAATGTTTTTTTGTGATGGACAGCAGAGCCAGACCAGTTCTCCCTATCTCCCAACCTGAAACCTGTCTAACATCTCAAATCAAATCCTATCCCTCCTCTCAAATCCAGCCCTATCTCTCATCTTAAATCCAGCCCTATCTAACTCTCTCCAACTCAGAAACTGCTCCTTTTATTCTTCTCCCCAAAAGTGCTGTTCCTGCCCCCTCTGTGGCTAGCGGACTCTGTAGCCCATCAGAGAGAGGCTCCAGCACTATGGTGGAATTTCAGGGGGACTGCATCACCATACTCTGGTCTGGCTTTGCTGTCCGCCACAGTTTTCCATCAATCATATATTATTAAGAACAGGATGCAGTCTTAAACAGGGAAATAAGATAGTGAGGAGAATTCCCATGCTGCTAAATCAGAAAGTTTAATGAATCAATAGTTATTTCTTATATTACAGACAGAGGAGAATTCAGTGCTCAAGAGTTGCCAAGCAATTAAGGGTATATTTTAGCTAAAGAAAAAGAATCACCTGCAGTCCTAAGTGGTAGTAGAAGTTAAAGCATTTCCAAAGCAATACAGATACGTAATTTGGATCTCATGAATGATACGTTATAGTATGATTTAATTTTACAATATAGGGAGGGAAGTAGGAAGAGAAAAAAAGTTGGTTGGAAGCACGGTGTACTGTTTAGAGTGTGTTGGACTAGGACCTGGGAGACTAGAGTTCAAATCTCATCTCAGCCATGAAGTTCATCGAGTAATCTTGGGCAAATCACAGTCTCTCAGCTTAAGTTACTTCACAGGGCTTTTGTTAAGATAGAACGGGGATGAAGAGAACAATATATGCCACCTTGAGCTCTTTGGAGGAAAGGTGGCTATAAATATATACAAATCACAGAACTGTAGAGTTGGAAGATACCCCAAGGGTCATCTAGTCCAACCCCTGCAATGCAGGAATCTCAGCTAAAGTATCCATGACAGACGGCCCTCCAACCCCTGCTTAAATAAATATATAAATAAATAAAACAACTCATTTCTGTATTAGGTAAGTTTTAAGATGCAGTGTGGAAGAGGTAGTGCACATTCAAATGAGGCATGATTTCTTACTTGAAGGCTAAGCCTGTAATTATATGCACTTATTTAGAAAGAAGTTCCAAGTGAACAAACTGGAATTTACTTCTGAATAAATATACATGAGATTGTAACAAATGTCAAAAAATATTTCATAAGCAAAGCATAGTAGGTAGTACTGGACAAAACAGCATTTCTCTACAAGATGGAAAGTGACTTGGCCATGCTTTTGGTTGGCGAGAGTCAGAAATATGGGGTGGGGGTGGGGAATCCCAGTTCTCAACACATGGAAGAGCTCAGGTAGTTAGAAGAAGAGGAGGAGGAGGAGTTTGGATTTGATATCCTGCTTTATCACTACCCGAAGGAGTCTCAAAGCGGCTAACAATCTCCTTTCCCTTCCTCCCCCATAACACCAGTTACAGATAGGTAGCCGTGTTGGTCTGCCATAGTCAAAACAAAAAAAAATTCCTTCCAGTAGCACCTTAAAGACCAACTAAGTTAGTTCTTGGTATGAGCTTTCGTGTGCATGCACACGAAAGCTCATACCAAGAACTAACTTTTGTTGTTGTTGTTTAGTCGTTTAGTCGTGTCCGACTCTTCGTGACCCCATGGACCAGAGCACGCCAGGCACCTCTGTCCTCCACTACTTCCCGCAGTTTGGTCAGACTCATGCTGGTAACCTCGAAAACACTATCCAACCATCTCGTCCTCTGTCGCCCCCTTCTCCTTGTGCCCTCCATCTTTCCCAGCATCAGTGTCTTCTCCAGGGAGTCTTCTCTTCTCATGAGGTGGCCAAAGTACTGGAGCCTCAGCTTCACAATCTGTCCTTCCAGTGAGCACTCAGGGCTGATTTCCTTAAGAATGGATGCGTTTGATCTTCTTGCAGTCCATGGGACTCTCAAGAGTCTTCTCCAGCACCATAATTCAAAAGCATCAATTCTTCGGCGATCAGCCTTCTTGATGGTCCAGCTCTCACTTCCATACTACTGGGAAAACCATGGCTTTAACTATACGGACCTTTGTTGGCAAGGTGACGTCTCTACTTCTCAAGATGCTGTCTAGGCCTGTCATTGCCCTTCTCCCAAGAAGGAGGAGTCTTTTAATTTCGTGGCTGCTGTCACCATCTGCAGTGATCATGGAGCCCAAGAAAGTAAAATCTCTCAGTGCCTCCATTTCTTCCCCTTCTATTTGCCAGGAGGTGATGGGACCAGTGGCCATGATCTTCGTTTTTTTGATGTTGAGCTTCAGACCATATTTTGCGCTCTCCTCTTTCACCCTCATTAAAAGGTTCTTTAATTCCTCCTCACTTTCTGCCATCAAGGTTGTGTCATCTGCATATCTGAGGTTGTTGATATTTCTTCCGGCAATCTTAATTCCAGCTTCGGATTCATCCAGCCCAGCCTTTCGCATGATGTATTCTGCATATAAATTAAATAAGCAGGGAGACAAAATACAGCCTTGTCGTACTCCTTTCCCAATTTTGAACCAATCAGTTGTTCCATATCCAGTTCTAACTGTAGCTTCTTGTCCCACATAGAGATTTCTCAGGAGACAGATGAGGTGATCAGGCACTCCCATTTCTTTAAGAACTTGCCATAGTTTGCCATAGTAAGAGTGACTAGTGGGGTGCCACAGGGTTCTGTCTTGGGCCCGGTCTTATTCAACATCTTTATCAACGACTTGGATGATGGACTCAAGGGCATCCTGATCAAATTTGCAGATGACACCAAACTGGGAGGGGTGGCTAACACCCCAGAGGACAGGATCACACTTCAAAACGACCTTGACAGATTAGAGAACTGGGCCAAAACAAACAAGATGAATTTTAACAGGGAGAAATGTAAAGTATTGCACTTGGGCAAAAAAAATGAGAGGCACAAATACAAGATGGGTGACACCTGGCTTGAGAGCAGTACATGTGAAAAGGATCTAGGAGTCTTGGTTGACCACAAACTTGACATGAGCCAACAGTGTGACGCGGCAGCTAAAAAAGCCAATGCAATTCTGGGCCTCATCAATAGGAGTATAGCATCTAGATCAAGGGAAGTAATAGTGCCACTGTATTCTGCTCTGGTCAGACCTCACCTGGAGTACTGTGTCCAGTTCTGGGCACCACAGTTCAAGAAGGACACTGACAAACTGGAACGTGTCCAGAGGAGGGCAACCAAAATGGTCAAAGGCCTGGAAATGATGCCTTATGAGGAACGGCTAAGGGAGCTGGGCATGTTTAGCCTGGAGAAGAGGAGGTTAAGGGGTGATATGATAGCCATGTTCAAATATATAAAAGGATGTCACATAGAGGAGGGAGAAAGGCTGTTTTCTGCTGCTCCAGAGAAGCGGACACGGAGCAATGGATCCAAACTACAAGAAAGAAGATTCCACCTAAACATTAGGAAGAACTTCCTGACAGTAAGAGCTGTTCGACAGTGGAATTTGCTGCCAAGGAGTGTGGTGGAGTCTCCTTCTTTGGAGGTCTTTAAGCAGAGGCTTGACAACCATATGTCAGGAGTGCTCTGATGGTGTTTCCTGCTTGGCAGGGGGTTGGACTCGATGGCCCTTGTGGTCTCTTCCAACTCTATGATTCTATGATTCTATGATTCTATGACACAGTCAAAGGCTTTTGCATAGTCAATGAAGCAGAAGTAGATGTCTTTCTGGAACTCTCTAGCTTTCTCCATAATCCAGCGCATGTTTGCAATTTGGTCTCTGGTTCCTCTGCCTCTTCTAAATCCAGCTTGCACTTCTGGGAGTTCTCGATCCACATACTGCTTAAGCCTTCCTTGTAGAATTTTAAGCATAACCTGGAGAATTTTAAGCATAACCTTGAAGAATTTTAAGCATAACCTGGAGGAGGAACCGGCAAGCCACTCCAGTATCCTTGCCAAGAAAACTCCATGGACAAAGACAACAGGCATATAAAAGAACTAACTTAGTTGGTCTTTAAGGTGCCAATGGAAGGAATTTTTTTTGTTCCCCCATAACAAAC